CTTTTAAGGCAGGGAATCCCGGCATTTATTTAGCCTACTCATGCTTAGCTGCAACCTGTAATCATGCCCCAGGAAGGAAACACAGGAGTGGTAATACGTAATAAACATTACTAAATATTCAAATTTGTCAAAATCATATTTGAGAATGAGATCTCTAGCTGTAATCCTTTTTATATGGTAAAAAAGTGCATATAATTCTTTATTTTTAATGATTGTTGAAATGAATTGTTGTTATTTTTTTAAAAATAAACTCTTTTATATTTTCATATTAAATGAAATTAAATAAAATATAAGAGACCAATTTCATTAAAAAAGGGTAAATATATTATTTTTGCATTCTATATATATATATGTGGCCTAGCTGTTGAGGATATGCATTCGCCGGAACTCGGTCAATTTGGTTTCCCTTCTCTTTCTGGCCTTTTGCTTTGGTTCTGTATTTATAAAGAGACCCTCCTTCTTCTTCTCCCCAAATATGGCTCAAGAAACATCCAAATCAATCTATGACTTCAATGTCAAGGTACTTGCTTTGTTGGTTTTTCAGGTTTCCCACTTATATTAGGGATTCATAATGAAATTTTCATTATTTTCATTTATGTTAACTAATTATGATACCTTGTAAACTGCTGTAGTTTCTTCTGTTCTGGTTTGAACTGATTGGTATATGATATTTTTAAGGATCATATTTATCCTAATTGTTTTCAGATTTATTTTGGAGATGAACTTTTTTTTTTTTTTTGTCTTTATTTCATTTTCATCTGGTTTTCTTCTCCATGTTTTGAAAATGAAAACGAGAAGGGAATTAAAAGAAAATTAATTTAAATCCTTTTCTTTCTCTTATCTTAATTATCCAAACACAAAAAAATACAATTCTTTCATTCCCTTGAATCCTTCCCCTTTCCTAATTTTTATTTATTCAAACAAAATTAATACAAATCATTTTCTTCTATTTTCTTTCCTTTCCTTTCCTTCCCCTCCATTTCCTTCCCCTCCATTTCCTTCTATTTTCCTCTGTCCCCCTCCCTTCCCTTCCCTTTACTATTTTCTATCCAAACAGTACCTAAAAGAAAATGGTCTGGGAAGCTTTGGATTTAAAGAATGTCATCACCCTCTGATATCAAATTTCTACCTTGTAGATCAGAGTCTGTTTCCTAACTTGTGTCCACCTTTTCATCTTGCTTCTTTCTTATGTAGTTTTGATTAACTAATTTGCAGGATATCCGTGGAAATGATGCAGGTTTGAGTGAATACAGAGGGAAGGTTCTTCTGATTGTGAATGTTGCTTCCAAATGGTAATCTGCCTTGATCAGCTTTATGTTTTGACCATTTTATTGTAGTTAATATGTCTGTGTGCCGGATATAGTTCATTTTTATGGCTTCTGTATCCATACTTGTTATCACATCTTCCTCCTTCAACATTTGTGTTTCTGAGATGCATTATTTTTCTCCTGTGAAGTGATCCTTATGTTTTGTCATTTTTATGACAGTGGCTTAACGAATTCAAACTACAAGGAACTGAATGTTCTATATGAAAAATACAAAAACAAAGGTTTGTCCACCCTTACCTTACAGTCATAATCGAATGGACTAAAAAAGGCGATCTTTTCCAAAGATTTCAGTATATAGCTAAATTTTGCTATTGTCCTTGCAGGTTTTGAGATCTTGGCGTTTCCCTGCAATCAGTTTGGAGGCCAAGAACCAGGAAACAATGAGGAGATTCAGGAGGTTGCATGCTCAAGGTTCAAAGCAGAATTCCCAATTTTTGACAAGGTAATACATATCAAGATATAAGTTATGTTCCTGATATAACTGTTTTTCATTCCTGTTGCAGGTATATAGTTTTATTTATTATTATTATTTTATTTTATTTTTGTTTTTTTATGATGAGAGAATTACCCTTTTGTTAGATAAAGAAGTCTCCTTGGCCTGAACACTTTCTGAAACTTTTATATTTAATGTTCTGAGTATTATAGACATCAAAGATAGCTAGAACTGCTAAGAACTAGAAGAATATAGTGTCTTTGTATGTAAAGGGCACAACTGGGTGTTGTAGGTTGAGGTGAATGGAAAGGAAGCGGCACCTCTTTACAAGTTTCTGAAATCACAGAAAGGTGGCATTTTTGGAGATGCTATCAAATGGAATTTCACCAAATTTTTGGTTGATAAGGCAGGGAAGGTTGTTGAGAGATATGCTCCTACAACATCACCTCTTAAAATCGAGGTTAGACTTGGACCAGTTCTGCATTTCGGTATTATTTTGCTTCTGAGTGGTTTGAATTGCAGCTCATTCTATTTTACACTTGCTTTCGCAGAAAGACATACAGAATCTGCTAGAATCTTCTTGAGTACCAAGGTCTTTTAGCATCAAGTCATGTTTGAACTAACTGAAGTGGCATGAATCACCTACTGCTGGTTCTGCATTATGATTTGAGCCGTAGACAAACCATTAAATCTTATTCCATTTTCTTTTCTTTTGTTGCTTTGATCTAGTAGGCTTGTAGCTCATGAATAATAATAAAACTCTGAAAAACTAGCATTAAGCTGCAAGACTTTTTAAGTGTCCTTTATATCTGTTCTAGGTTCTTTATATAAATATAATTTCAGCATTCACCAAAATATCGTATGCTTCCCTTATTCATCTAAATCTTTAATAACATTTACCATGGTAAGCTCTTGTATGCTACTCGTGTGTGCTATGAATAAGCAAAATAACCAAAATAAAGTATAAAACAAATTCTTGTATCATCATAACCACGAGGAAAAACAAAGTCAATTGTAGCTGAATTTTGCTGTCAAAAGTCTGACAAAGAACAATATTAAAGCAAAGTACTTCTATTTGAAATTTGAGGTTCCAAAACTGAAATAATGGATATACAAGTTGTAAACATTATAAGTTATATATATATATATAGACACTAGAAATTGAATCTAAACATATAATTAAGAGTGCATGTAACTCTGTTATCAGACCACGTAGCTGATAGCATTAACATTATAATTAGTTAACCACAAGCAAAACATAAAAAATAGATTCTTCTGCTTCTCTTCTGCCTTCCTAGGCTGAAAAAATGTGAAGGAAACAAAGCCATGGATTTTCAAAATGAAAGCTCACTTACCTCAAATGACATAAAACAGGTTCTAAAGATGCGCAGGCATTGGATTAACCAATTCAAACAATTGAAATACACAGAGTCTTTGAATCCGACACAACTGAGGTGATTTCATAGCAATTTACATCAATCTTGATATGGCATAAGCACCTATAAACAATCTGGCTACCAACCCGACCATACCATTTTTCCCTGAATCACTTATCTAACGAAACTTTACTAGGAAAATTGTATGCTGTTATAGATTTATATCATAAAAGCAGCATCACAAACTTCACGATCAGCAGTGCAATTTATAAAAATACCATACCATTTTTCCCTGAATTGCTTATCGATCAAAGCAAAATACACGGAGTCCATGATGGCTGCTTGCCCTCTGGGTCTTGTCCATCAATCTCAACCATGTTTCAGCTCCAGACATATATGGATTGCACCAATTTCAGGTATGTATTTTAATCTTCGGATGACTTGAACCCATGTTGATTAATTTTTTTTATGGTACATTTGGGGTGGGGGAATCGGGAGCTTGAATTTTAATTTGGGATACTACTGGCCGTGCTTTTGAAGATGTCCATTTATCCATTGTGTTTCAAAAAACTAAAACCATTGTTTGATGGAATTTGTTGTTAGTGGAGCAAAAACTAGGAAGAAATTTATTTTGTGTATTTGAGAATTCTATCTATTACATTATTCTGCTAGGGGATATCTTATTGTTTTCTGTTGAGTATCAAGTATTCTTTTTTTTTTTTTTCTTTTTTCTTTTTTTTTTCTTTTTTAAGTAAGGCAATTAAATTACATTATATTAAAAAAATGAAGAATTAAGAATAGTGATTAGTTTTAAAGATACAGCTAAAGTGTTACACCATTAAACCATCACTGATGCTATTAGTTAAAATATGTATTTAGTTCCTTATTTTAATAAATTTAGAGTTTTTAATCTTTTACTTTATACTATAAAATTTTTAGTTCCTAAACTTAAAATTTTGAAAATTTTAACTCCTAAATTAAGAGAATCCGTTAATTTTTTGTTGAATAAAATATTAATAAAATCAGTTCTTAAAAATTAAAAATGTAATAATTTAGTTTTAAAATTTTGAAAAATAAAAATAATTAGTGAATAACTTTGTCATATACATAATAATAGTATTAAATATTTACAATCAAATTGAGTAATTAATTCAACTTAAAGAAAGAAATTTGATTGAGATTAAAAAAAAGAAATTCTTGGTTGTATTCTTTATCCGTTGAACTTTCTGTCGTAGTTCAATTAAGAAAATTTTGTTTAATTTAATCAAAAAAAATTTTTCAAATTGAACTAATCGCCCAATTTTATTATAAATATTTAATATTATTTTAGTATATATGAGAAACTCATCTATTAATTCTTTTTAGTTTTCTAATTTTTTTAGTTTTTAAACATTTGAAATTAAATTGTTATATTTTTTATTTTTAAGAACTAATTTTGTAAATATTTTACTTTCACTTTTAATAAAAAATTAATGAATTCTATTAGTTTAGGGATTAAGATTTGTTTAGTTTTTAAACATTTGAAATTAAATTGTTACATTTTTTATTTTTAAGAACTGATTTTGTAAATATTTTACTTTCACTTTTAATAAAAAATTAATGAATTCTATTAGTTTAGGGATTAAGATTTTTAAAATTTTAGAACTTTATAATATAAAATAGAGAAGTAAAAATTTTAAATTGAATAAAATAAAAGATTAAACTTATACTTTAACATATTTAACTTCAGTTTTTTTTTTTTTAAAAAAAAAACCTTATTCTTTAGCATTACCGTAGTTGGCTTTGTTAGTTACGTTTTTGTTTATTCATTTTGTTTCTGATAGTAATGGTAATTTTTTTTATAAAGTGATGGTAAAATTTTGTTATGAGTTTCTACTTGATAGATATATATATATTTGAATATTGAGGTGGGGCTCAAATCTTATACCCTTAAATTTTAATATAAAAAGTCTTTAATAAAAATAAAAGACACCATTACACTACAAGAACCTTCTCTACTCTATTTATGAGTTCCTATGATACAGAGTAAATGTACTTGAATGACTATTATTTTGTTTCCTAGTGAAGTTTATTTGCTACCACTGTTTTGTTATAGGGACTCTCATTGTTACTATCCTGTTTTTATGGATGGGGGTTGTTGTACTTGCAATGTCTGGATGGAGGAACTTGGGATCAATTGTAATGTGTGTATTTCTAGACAAATTTTAGTGGCCCATGTGTCAATGGCAAACATATTGCCGTACCTCTCAATAGGGTGGTAGTAATTTGATTTTTACCAAGTCTTATTATTATTATTTTTTTTTTGGAAGGAAAAGAATTTAACCCAAGGTTGCATAAAGCGTTAGGTGATAATAAACGGTTGTCCACAACCTAGAACTTAGAGTGTCTAGGTGGTACTTAGGTGGCTTAAGTGATTTTTTTTATTAATTATTTTTTGATATAATTCTATGAGAATAAAAAAAATATAAAATAAATTTAAAAATTATAAAATAAATAAAAAATTAAATTTCTGTATTCATTATTATATCTAAATAGTAAAATTTAAAGGAATTACTTGGTATTTAATGTTTTTTTATATAATTTTTATAATAAATTAAACGATATCATTTCATTAAATTAAAAAATTAATAAAAAGTATTTATTTAAGTACTCTAAGTTCCATTAAGCACGCCTAGTATCTAAATATACTTAATTGACTTAGGTGGTGCAAATTGCATTAAATTTTTATAGATGAAATGACATCATCTAAAGTTTAGATTGATACGGACAGAATAGCACTACCACACCTAATAGTATCTAAATATATTTAATTAATTTAAGTGGTATAAATTACACTAAATTTTTACAAATAAAATGACATCACCTAAAATTTAGATTGATGCAAACAAAATGACACTACTTAAAACTTAGTCGTGCTTTTTACGACACTGATTTAACCCCAAAAAGCTGGTATGAACCTGGTGCATGAGTGGGTAGGAGCCGTATCATCCATCATTTATTTAGTCAAATTTTATTAATATATAATAAAATAAATTTTTAAATTTTAAATTACTTTTAATTAAATTAAACTACATAATTTAAAATTAAAAATTTAACCTTTTTTAAAGACAGAAGTAATATCCATTTTTCCTTTAAATAATTTCATTGCCATATGTATATATATATTATATGTATATATGTGACTATTAGTGGAAGCTGAACTTGAAAAAATTGTGGAGTTTTTTTTTTTTTTTTTACTGTTTATAAATGATAAATTTAAATATTTATTGAAAAAAAAATTAAAAGTTGTTTTTAGAAATAGATTAAAGTGAATAAGAAGTGAGTAAAAAAAATTAATAAAAAAGAAGTTTATAAAAAATATAAATTTAAAACTTTTTAAAATTTATTGTTTAAAATATTTTTAAAGTTAAAAAAATTAAAAAATATAAATTTTTTTAAAAAATATTTTAATTTATAAAATACTAATAATACTAAAAAATTAAAACTCTTACAAGTTTCACCACACATGCATTAAGTTAATAAAGAACTTATTATATATTTATTATGGAGTATAAACCTAGTCTGGCCCATCTCCAAATATGTTGGGCTATCTAATAGGCGATGGCCCATGGCCCAATCTTCCTTCGCCTTTACCCTCAACGGTGATCGTGTCTCGTTTCAGCCATTCTCCTGTCCTGAGAAAACGGTGACCGGAATTTTACTCCGATCGATCTCTGTTTCCGACCCCTCCTAGCCAAATGGTCAGGTCCTTCGGTCTGAAACGCACGCCGAACCTTTTCCTCAGAAAACACCGAAAATGGCCGCTTTCCCCTTACAAATCCAAATGGCAGAAAACCTTCGACGAAAACCAAGCTATGCAATCCCTCAAACAAGCAACAAAGCAGCAGTTGCAGAATCCTGACCCGCCTCTTCTCCTCTCCTCCCTCACAAACTCTTTCGCCGCCTACGACCTCGAACCAACCCCACAAGCCTATCATTTTGTCATCACAACTCTATCCCACAGCCTTCAATTCCGTCACATCCCTTCGGTTCTTGACCGCCTTGAACGCGTCGAGAAATTTCCGACACCCGAGTACGTCTTCGCCGACCTTATCAAAACCTACGGCGCTGCTAACAATGTTCAAGACGCTGTTGATCTTTTTTGTCGGATGCCCAAGTTCAGGTGTGTCCCTTCTGTGCACTCTCTCAATGCTTTGCTCTCTGTTCTTTGTAGAAACGAACTTGGTCTTAAGTTGGTGCCGGAAATTCTGTTGCAGAGTCAAGCTATGAATATAAGGGTTGAAGAATCGAGTTTTAAGATATTAGTTTGTGCTCTTTGTAGATTAAATAAGGTTGCGTATGCTATTGAGATACTGAATTGCATGATAAAAGATGGGTTTGCCATTGATGATGAAATTTTTTCATGTATACTGTCATCAGTCTGTATGCAGAGAGATTTGGGTAATTTAGATATCATGGGTTTTTGGGAGGAACTGAGAAAGCTTGGGTTTTGTCCTCGTACGGGTGATTATGTTAATGTGATGAGGTTCTTGTCGAAAGGAGGCAGGGTAATGGATGCTTTCGATGTTCTAAATCAAATGAAATCTGATGGAGTTAAGCCTGACATTGTCTGCTACAATATAGTTTTAGGTGGTATTATTGGAGAAGGGAATTTCGAGGCAGCAGATGATGTGTTTGATGAATTGCTTGTGTTGGGTTTGGTTCCGGATGTCCATACTTACAATGCCTATATAGATGGTTTATGCAAACGAAATAATATTGAACAGGGAATCAGGTTGATCACTTGTATGGAGAAGTTGGGGTGCAAACTTAATGTGATCACTTATAATGTGTTGTTGGAGGCATTGTGTAACGTTGGTGATATGAGTAAAATGAGAGAGCTTGTGGAGGAGATGAAAGTTAAGGGAATTAAGCCAAATTTGCAGACATATAGGGTAACAATTGATGCTCTGGCTAGTAAAGGTGAAATTTTTGAAGCTTGTGCATTGATGGAGGAAGTTTTGGATAAGTTCTTTTGCGGACAATGTTTCACACTAGACAACATAATTTCTGGTTTGTGCCAAAGAGGGTTAGTTGGTAAAGCACTGGAATTACTTAATAAAATGGCTGACAAGAGAGTTTCTCCTGGTGCTGGTGTTTGGAATGCACTTCTCAGCACAGGATACAAACTTGATTTTGATGAGACCACATTCATTGATTTAGTAGGTCCAGTTTAAATTGCCTTGTCGCGTTTTGCGTGGTGTAATATTCAATCAATAAATTTTCTAACCCTACCCATTGAGATTTCCATATGTGACCTTTTACCTAAAAGAAAGAGGACCTCATATGTGTTGTAGAGCACTGACTTCTCTTTTTTCTGTGGAGAAACTGTGTGTATATTAAATGGTTGTTCGCGTAGGCATATAATCCACATTGATTGTTTGTTTTCTGCAGATGAAATGTTTTCTTTTTGGTACCCAAGCAACTGGGTCCTTCCTTTTCCTGATCCTATATGGTTGACTTGCTGCTGCAGTTGGCTTATTTTGACACCCCTTTTTTCCTTGCAACAATCATTTACTGTTTCCATATACCAGTTAGCATAAAGTTGGCTTTGAGTTGGGTATCCTTTTAATTTGCCATGGACATTCTAGGATAGAAATGACGCATTGGATTCTGTTTGGTATATATGGTTTTAATTAATTAATTTTTTTTGTTCTTGGTTTACAAGGGAGAAGGGGGCATCCGGGCACAAACCTGGGTACCATCCGGGGGAGGGGGTGGCCTGCCACCTGCTCCAACTAGTGCTGCGGTGGTATTATTAATTTAATTTTGATGCAGCTATGCAATGGTTAGTAGGTTGGTTGTTATTATTAGTTGTTAGTAGCTGGGGATTCAATCCCAAATCTGGTGAACATTTTACCTCCCTTAATGACTCCCTTAATGAGGCACGCGGCCCATCGGGCCACTGGGCCGCTTGGTGGAGTTCTGATGCAGCTATCTGGCACCCCAGTAGTTGTGTCATTTATTATCTTATGCCTTCTAATTTCTAAAGCTTCATAGAGATTGATGTGCTAAATGGAGTCACACAATACATAACAGTCTGAAGCAACTACTATTGCTGAACCTTTACCGCATTTTCTAGTCCGTGGAACTGCTCAGAGAATTTCTGTTTCTTTTTGTTGTAAAGTAGTTGTAAAGTCACTGGTTTCTACCTGTTTGCAGACTTTGTGCTGGAGAGTCATGGATTCAGGTTGAGTCAGAGATTCTGAACCCTGTGATTCCTGTATCTGTAACATGATTGCTATGGGTTATGCTTGGTGTCTACAGCTTAATGAAATATATTTTGCTTTTTAATACTCAAAGTGGGGTTTTATTTAAGTGATTCTTTATGTTAAAAGTTTAGCGATTCTGATTAAGACTATAAGACTTTTGAGTGCTTTAGTGCCATTTACCACACTTTCCGCAGAAGATATAAATATTAGACTTTTTGGCTTTCGATGTGAAATCACTGAACCATTTTGCTGTTGTTATCTGATTACCTCTCTCTATTTTCAATGTGAGCGCAATCTTACTGTGGTACGTGAAAACTGACATAAAAACGAACCTGAGGGTCTCCGCTCTGGAATGTCAAGAAATTAATGTGCTGTTGCCTCCAGACCAGGACAAAATTGGGGCACTATAAACAGCGAGTGACCTCGCTCCACGCATAACCCCTATTCTCCTTTTCTTTTATGGGGGTATAATTTCTTGATTGAAGATCCATAATGGAGGTTCAATTTGGTTCCACTTGAGAATATAATGCCACAAAGGAAGGAGAATAGTAGTTGTGCTCAGAAACGGGGTTTGAGAATTGATTGTCAGGTGGTTGGGACCTCCTCCGGAGTAGATTGCACGGCAGATAAACGGCACCTCAAATTATTTCTTTTGGTTTTAATTTTGATACAAGGAACAGAAGGGAGATGTGGATTGCCAGTAACCTGTGGTGCTGGTTTTCATTATCAGTCCAACGTGGATGAGAGGGATGGAATGGACATGTATGGCCGTATTTTTATCTTGTAATGTCTCCTGGGTGGTGGTACCAAATTCCTTATTCTGTGCTTCATCTTGATAAGGCCACATCAACTATTTTCTCATCAAAATTATTCATTGCTTTGCTTGATCATTTGTAGCATCTCTCACCACCAACCATTGCGAGTAGAAATCCATCCCAGCCTGCAGACTGGTAGCCACATGGAACAAGGAAAAGTTTGATCGAGTGTTTGGTATAACGTGCCGTTTGGCAGTTTCATCTAATTTAAAACGTATTTTAACATTAGGTAATAAAAAATACATACCATATGTTAGTTTTGTGTATGATGGTTTCCAATCCAGGTTGTTGGTTAATGTGTTGGTTAATGTGTAATTAATAAAATAATCTCGTAATGCTGTTAGAATTTCCAAAAAGAAAAGCATTTAAAGTATATAGACTCTTTTGGCACACCACTTTGCTAGCTCCGACTCCAAACACGCCATCCCCCCGCATTATCTTGTGTTTGCTGCAAAATAATCCATTCTGCAAGTGCATCATGCATCTGTATTCACAAAGGGGAGAGAAAAAGGAAAAAAAGGAAGAGAAAGTGAAAGAAAAGCAGCATAACTGCATAAAATATTGAAGATTGAGAAAAATTAACTTCAAAAAAAGGAAGAAACCTGGAATTTCTTTTTATGAGAACCTGGGAATTAAAATCAAACTTTGCAGCGGATATTGGATGATGATCGATCCATGGTTGCTGGTCGTCTTCATCATTCTTACGGCTAATTTAACCAATCTGAATTCTGATTTCTGACATGACCCCAAATCCTATTCAATCAATGGTTATTATCACCACCATATATAAATGACATTGTTTGAAATGTCAATATATATGGAATGATTTTCTTGATCCTTATCCCATTCAACTATCGTGTTAGAAAACATCACTTTGAAATATTATTGGTAGAAAATGCAAAAACAAAAATTTCTAACTCACCTAAAATGGACCTTTCCAAACAGCTGGAAACCATTGGAAATTGATGGAGAGTACGGAAATAAAGGTGTAGTGGTCATGATGGGGAAGACGGGCACATGAAAAACTAACTCAATACCTTATCCTCTGAATTCGATCTACAAGATCGAATTGCTTTTTCATTGTAAAATACATATTTGCATGAGTCAGTAATGCACGTGCCCTGCTTCTCCATCTTGCTCTACGCACACCTTCTCACGGCAACAAACAACGGAGCTAGCTATACCCAAGAACAAGAGAAAGGAAGAGAAAGAGCTTGGAGGAGTTAAAATGGAGAAATTGGGGACACCCTTCCCTTCTGAGTTATTGCGTACTCCATGGTCATCACTCATTTATAAACAAAAGAAGCAAAGGATGAAATTGTGTTCCTCTAAAGGTAGGTGTGGGGAGGAAAAGATGAAGTGAGCCAAGTTTTAGTTGTTTGCGGGACCCAGTTAACTTGTGAAAATTGGTACCAAAAAGTAAAAAGAGAAAATTTAATTGGACACAACAGGACCACCCCCCCCCCCTACAACTCCCATATATTTCCCTAGATGTATAAACCCTAGCTACCTAATTAAATACTGTCATTTTGGGGCATTCAATGCAGTAATTCATCCTTTAACAACCCTAGCATATGGTCGTGGATTGTGGAGAGGAAGAACATGATGAATGGATGAATTAATGGATTTGAATTAAGGTCGTACTCAAGTCAATATTTGTAATTTAATGCATTAAAAAGTAGGTAAGTGTATACTTTCTTAATTTTTTTTTCTAAAAAAAAAGAAAGAAAGAAAAACATTATGGATGGTCTTTCATAGCTAAAATAACTGCCACGCTTTGATCCATCATCCTATGGGATTGGTTCGATCATAACCTCATGGCTAGTCTGTACTTGTTCTTTGAGATACATCAAAAGTTAATTAGTTGGACTTGGTGCTAGAAGGGTTTAAATATTTAAATTTAACTTTGACTTTATGTTAAAGTGAAAGGAATAGGGGGAAGGAAAAGGGAGAAGAGAGGAATTACATCCTTTCATTCCTCTTTATTTTCCTTTTTTTTATTCTCCTCATTTGGATAATTTTTTAAATTAAAAGGAAAATAAAGTAATAAAAAAATTTCCCCTCCCCTCTTCTTCAATTTTATTCTTATTTCTACTTGTCGCTGATGCTTTGAATGGGTTAATTCTTAACGCAAAGGAGGAGAATCTATACAAAGGTGTAGTGGTGGGTGCAAAAAAGATGGAGATTACTCACCTCCAATTTGCGGATGACTCAATTTTCTTTTGTGAAGCATCTGAACAAAATGTCCAAACTATCAAGTGTGTGTTGCAATGCTTCGAGTTAATATCAGGCCTAAAGGAGGTGTGATGCCATTTAAGTATCTGGGAATCCCAATGGGTGCTAACCCAAGGAGGATATCAACCTAGATGCCTGTTGTTGATTGCTTAAAAAGGAAATTGTCAAGCTGGAAATGTGAATCGCTATCCTTTGGTGGAAGAATTATTCTCTTGAATGCTGTCCTATCAAGTATCCCAGTTTACTTCTTCTCAACCCTAAGAGCCCCTAAAAAGGTTATAAAACTTTTTTCTTTAATTCAAAGGAGATTTTTGTGGGGAGGTGCTAAAGACAAGAGAACAATAGCATAGGATAGATGGGAGCAGGTTTGTAAAAGTAGGAAAATGGGAGGGCTGGGTGTCAAGGACTTTAATAGTTTCAATTTGGCATTGTTAGGAAAATGGCGATGGAGACTACTAGGGGAGAGGGACGCTTTATGGAACAAGGTAGTGGAAGCCAAGTATCATGTACATAAAAAAAGAGACTATGAGTGTGAGGATGTGAAAGCAGTAGTTCCGAGTGGTGGAAGGCAATATGGAGATTAGATAGGGAGGTAGTGTCTAAAGAAGGATGGATACAAACGGGTTTTGAAAAGGTCCTAGGGGAAGGCAATGACACTTCATTTTGGTTAGAGAATTGGTGTGGGAAGGTTTCCTTTAAGGAGAAATTCAACAGGCTATTTAGATTGGCTGAAAATAAGGACAAGGTAGTGAAAGAATCGGGGGAATGGAGGGAGGGATAGTGGGTATGGAAGTGGAGGTGGAGTAGGAACTTACGGGAGTGTGAACAATCTGTTTTGTAGGAACTTAATGTATTGCTAAGGGAGATGAAACTAAAACAAGGACAATCGGACCAATGGAGATGGAAATATGATCCAAAAGGAATTTACTCTACCAAGTCAGCTTATAACATATTGAACACCAACACAAGCAACCAGAATCTATCGCACTACAAATTGCTGTGGAATAATAAGGTACCATTAGAAGTTTCAGCATTTGCATGGAAAGCCCTCCAGAACAAAATACCTACAGGTGACAACTTGATTAGAAAAGGCATCTCAGGAATTAGTTCAGATTCTTCATGTGTTTTTTGCGAACATAATCCGGAAACCACTAGCCATCTCTTCTTTACATGTGACATGAGCTGGAGAATTTGGCAATCGTGCTACAAGTGGTGTGGCCTTTAATCCGCTTCAACAAATGAGGGATGGAGCCATTTACAACAGCACGTGGGCATGATCTCCAAATGTAGTTCAAAGAAAGCATGGTGCATGATCTGGTTCACTATTTTATGGTCAATCTGGATACTGAGAAATCAATTAGTCTTTAAGAAGGAATCTGTTCCTATTGATCAGATTACAAACTTAATTAAATTGAGATCCTTTGAGTGGACTAGGGCTGAACTTGGTAGTGAATTGTTAAAGGAAAGATGGATGCAAGACCCTATGAAAGCATGCAATACTAGTGAGTTTAACTAAAATAGGGCATTGGGCTAGGCTGGGTATGAGAGAATTTCAATTGTAAGGCAATATATGTATTGATGTAACGAGTTAGAGTACTCTTTGTACTCCTTAATAAAAAACTTCTTTTGCTGATAAAAAATAAATAAATAAATAAAGAATTTTTTTTCTCTTCTCCTCATCTCACTCTAGATATATTGTAATTGTATGTTTGAATTAAGAGGAATGAAGGGGAGAGAAATTATATACTTTTATTTTCCTCCATTCCCTTTTCTTGTCTTTTTATTTGGATAAATAAATAAATTAAAAGAAAAAATAAAGGAAAAATTTTCCTTGCCCTTCCTTTCAATTTCTTTTAATAACTAAATAGAAAAAATTTTAAATTTGTTTCCTCCCTTTCATTTCCCTTAACCCAAACATATTGTAAATCAAAATTTTCTTTTGTTGGTGAATACTAATTTGACCAAACCTTTATATCTAATCTACCATTTTCTTATTCAAAAAATTCTTTTATTAATAATGTTATTGTTATTATATAATTAAAATTTTTTAATAACATGAATATTTAAATCTTTGACTTAAATAAAACACATAGAGATAAGGTTTGAATAACTTTCAAAAATTGAGAAATTGACAAGCTATAATTTTACAATTATGTATGAGCACACATGTCCACAAAAATGTAACAAATTTTTTGTGTCATAATCCAAAGTGTTGCTGTCTGAACTTATGAAACGAATTGTGTTTATATCCTGCCATAATTAATTGCAAATACCATATGGGTAAATTCATGAGAAAAGAGAGGTAAAACATCCATATGGTACATATATATTTATATCTGGATGGAGAAATCTCAGATACGGCGGAGTACACTCTCCTTAGATTCATGTTTCTAGGAATTTCTCGGTATTTCCAGTACTCATAAATTGTCTCCTTATTCCCTCTCCTCTAACAACAATGTTCCATGTACTCCTATATAATTTTTGCTTTTTACCCCCAAAATGAAATACCCTGAACAATATTAAGGATATGTATGGGTCAAAAATTTCAAAGTTTTGAAGAAATATTGTTCCTCTTCTAGGGTTTGTGGGGTATGAGCTAGGAAGAAGGAGGTGGCTGGGGTTTTGTGGTGTTTTGTGGTTAATTTCCTGCAAAACTTTTTCCTTGGAATTCCTCTCCATATCTCCTTACCTTTCTAATGGTTGAAATAAGGTAATGATGTGTAATTTTTAAAATTTCTTGATTGCACTTATTGTCATATTTACTAGACCCACTCTCCCCCAAAGTCTTTTTCCAAGTCCACTTCCTCTTGTGGAGGTCATTTATAGATGTGCCTCTCATGTCTAAACTATATGGAGACGAATATCATGAGCATCTCTCACCCTATCTGTAGTTATTGTGACATATTTTTATTAAGTCTACATAATTTTTATTAATATTTTATTAATTTAATTTTTAAAAGCAACCAAAACGAAAAAAAGTTATTAATATTTATTATTTAACATATTAAAATTGATTTACAAATAAATTTTTAAATATTATAATTAATTTTTTAACAAAAAGATATATAAATTACAAAAATATGTATAGTAGTAATCACCACCCGCTTTTTCTATCTTTTTATCTTTTACGGTATCATTTTTTCAAACTCTAATCACAAAAGTTATTATCTTCCATTAAATATATATATATATATCTAAATATCATAAGAGAAAAATA